TAGAGATGTGTACTTTCATTTTAAGAATTAATTTTGATTGGTTTTAAAGTTGAATGAGATTTTCTTACCTCAATTTGTTTTCATACATAATTTATTGTCTTTGTTAATTTCAATTTGTTTAATTTTCCAATGAAGGTAAACTTAAAGGATTGTTTTCAAGGAGCATTTTAAGAAAAAGTAAAATCATACCTGATATGGAAGGGGGTTCATGATCTCCACATAGATAGATTTTATGAGAGATAACAGGGAAAACTTTATGAAACTGTCCTGTATATTTATTCTGTGATTGTTTAGCTGAATTTAACCAGTGAACATTGGGAACAATTAATTTAAAAATGACTGAAGCACTAGGTATGTTAAGTGATTTTTTTTTCATTTAACAGTAACATAAATCCTCAAGTCCTGTATACTTCTTGGCTAAAGTTAGCTATTTCATGTAGCCATATTTCCTAGCTCTTTCAGAATCACTGTGATAGTCAAACCATTCTTTCTTGATATTCGATAAAACTGGAAGTTATGTTATATGTTGTCCACTGACACCACATTACTTATCAACATGACTTTTCTCTTTGCATATCTTTAGTGTAGTTGTAAGGAAAATATTACAAATATTTGGGATAAAATATACTTGAAGCCAACACCATCATGGAATATCTACCATACAGGCACACAGTAATGTTTGTTAAATTGAATGGAATTAACAGTCAAAAAATGAAATAAACTGGGGAGATTAGTGTCTTTATAATTCTGTTTCATAAAGCCAAATGATAGAGAAGGGTCTATTGCTCCACTACTTCCACTGCTGATTTAGTATTTAGTGAATGAAATCCATATTCTTCTTGAATGTATTAAAATAGTTCCTGAAACCAATTACAGAAACTACATACTTGCTAGTAATCCTATGTGAAATCCTAAAATATCACATTTCTTCATAGCTATACATTATTTACTTGCTTTGCAATATGCTAAAAGATATCTGATTGATATACTTTGGTGTAGACAGTATTATTTGCTTAATTGTCAATGAACCACCTTACCAAATCTATACTCTTTCTTAATACAAGCTCATACATGAGCAAAGTAATCTTTTCTGAACATTCATGTGTCCTGTTTATTTAACCTTTAACAAAGCAGTTTATGAATACAATTCATCTTGATCAATGTCACCCTTCAACCTCCTCACCCATAAAATGATCTTTTAAAAGCAAAAATGTATTGGTTAATGTTTTAAAATGTTCTTTCCTTAACTTATCAAGCTTATTGTTAATAATATTTGTTCTTTGTACTTCTTTATTGAAGAACTATATTCCTTGTGAATCTTCAAGAATGACATGTTCGCTCATATATGTGTGCTCTGTGTACTATTTCTTCTTCATCACATTCCCTTCCTCTCACCTATGTTTTTGCCTTCCTCTCACCTATGTTTTGTCCTTGAGGACCCTTGCTAAGAAGGGCTCAAAATACAAATGACCTCCACTAGAAATCTGGGATTTCCCAAAGGTTGAGTTAGGACCAGCTCATATAGCTTCAAGGGAATATGCATTTACATATCATATGTTTAAAAATATTGTTTCCATGCTGGACCTCCATGCCATAATGCAAGTTCATTAAAGACTCTCTCTTCTTTGTTAAATTACTGTTGATTACAAATCTTAAAATATGCACAGAACAAAACAACTGAATTTTTTACATCACTGCAATGTTCTCACATCTTGAAACAAATGGATTGTGTTAGAGTTTACTCAGTTTTGTTTTGTGCCCAAACACCAGTTTGGGATTTTACCAAGAAAGAAAATGTGCTACTTGCTTAAGAATAACTATGTATAAATTACATATGAAAATGATGAATTCATCTGAAAAATTTACATAATCTTTTTTCTTATCCAAAATAGAAATAATGAAAACATTATGATAGAACTTTGTGCAAAAATCAAGAATGGCTAAAAATTGATTGAGATTATTTTTCTTCTTAGAGTCTATTTGAATGATTGCTAATATGTATTTATTGACTGAGTAGTCAAGGAATAATGACAGGTGGTGATTAGGCAAGTCAGCAGTATGGCATTTTGTTCTAGCACTGCTGTTCTGTAGTGGGCATAAAAAATGTTGGATCTTTGGGGTTCTGGCCTCTATCAACTGAAGTTTTCCAGTGCAGCTGAAGAGCAACATATTTCCAGTGTACCACTGTCATTACGTTTTCTATTGTCTGATAAATACCAGGATTCCTCAGTAAGGTGAGGAGATTGAAACCTGAATCTCAAGAGAAGAGGATTGCTTAATTCTTCTTTTACAATCATCAATTTAGTTGGTTTCTGGGGAGCACAGAAAAAAAATCTGTGTAAAAGATCTTACCACAATTAAGTCAACTACATACTGCTTCCAGAAATGTTTCATAGTACGGTCATGCCTGACATTTTCTCAAACACATTCAGATCACTAAGGATTTGGGATTTTCTAACACTCTTGTGTTATATAAATAAAACAGAACTGCTTTAAGAAAAGTATTTTTAAAATTAACCCTCTCAATTTCTATTTCTAAAAACAAAATTACCAAGTATAACTTGTAAAAGCAAAATAAGTTCAGGAAATATGCTTTAAAGAGTCACACAATAAGAAATAATATATTTTTTCTCCCAGTAGCTGAATTTCTTGGTTGGTTTTAAATTTCTCAGTTCAAATTAATGAACAAGTTTCTCTATAATATTAGGGTGTACTTGATAATAATACAAGATCAGAGCTCTTCTTCATTAAATTGGGCAAAGAGAACTTACTGGTACTTAAACTGTTAAATGGATATTAGGATCTTTAATGAATGGAACATTTATTTTGTGCCAGCTCCACTAACAACACTGACACGATTAGCATACATTTTGGCAAGTCTTCTAGCACAAGGTGTTAGGAAAAAGAGCTTTTTATCTTTGAGCTTAAATTAAGTTAGCTTTCCCTGCCATTAATATTTTTAATGTAAATAAGCTGCTTTTGTAAAGGAAATCCTACTTCAAGAAGTTATTCAGAAGTATGTCTTTTTGTGAAGGTTAGAAACATTTCTCAGCCTGGATATGAAGTCCATGCCCCCAAATGCAGGAACTTTCTTGTGATTTAAAAATGAATAGATTTTAAAAAAATTATACTAATAGTAAAAGTTATTGAACTTATAGAGGATTGAGGTTTTATTGATAGTACAATGTACATCTCACGAGGTTTCTTTTTGTAAACAGAAATGTGCAGAAAGATATGACTAGGAAAGAATGGTTTCTTCCACTGCTATCAACCATGGAAGACAACTTTTGGGAGTTAAATGCTGTTATACTCTCTTAGCTCAAATGTCTCTCACATACAAGGATCTTACAAGAAAAAAATTGTTTTTTACAGCCAACACTGTTGTCTTGAACGTTTGCTATTTCCCTTATTCATATTACCAAATTGGAAGGAAAATAAACCAACAAAAATCCAAGATATTTGCATTCCATTCTCTGTTTTGCTTTGTATTTTTTTCCTTAAAAATCATGGTAAGCTACTGAAACACAGTTAACTAGGGATTTTCTCTAAGAATGTGGTACCTTAAAAGTTTATAACTAATATTAAGCCAACAATTTACTAATATGCTTATACACATTCATGTGTGAAATTTTTCATCTGAATTTAAATACCTAAAGATACTCTCTTTCACTGTATATCTGCAACTACATGCATCCTCAGCAATATCTCGTAGAGTAATGAAAGTTTAGTTAAATATAATCTTTAGCATAGCAGAATTCTACATTTTATCCATTTCATCCAAAGATATATCAGTATCAGGCACTTTAGTGAAAGAACCATGTTCAAATATAAAATGGTAAAAATGAGAAAGAAATTATGAAAATAGATACCTTTAATTTGCAGACATATAAACACGTTTGGTACATTACAGACACAAGATGGCAGGGAGTAAAATAACCCAGGTTAAGCTAATAGGTTCCTTGCTTACACAGATAATTTTGCCATAGCTCTCAATATAAAATAAAATTCCAGCTCAGATAACGAAGTAAAATTGATAAATAACTGAGGAGCCAGCTTGCTATACTGAAGAAAAAAAGCAACAACTCAGTTAAAGCAAAATTACCAGAGGAATTTGTTTTGGGGCTCACAAATAAACTCTTGGACGGAATCCAAAGCCCAGGGGGAGATGGTGGAGGGGAAGGCAGAAATGGTAGCCAACAAATCGAAACAACAACAAAAAGGAAATATAAATTCTACATAAAATGCCCAACTGAAAGAACCTGAAGTGCACATTAGCTTCTAGAATGATTTTAATGGGACTTTTACTTTTCTCATGAGAGGGATGTTTAAGTATATAAAAATCGAACACATCCCAAGTACAAAGTGCAACTGACAAGTTGTGAATGCACTAAAACTTCATAGACACTGAAAGAGCAACTAAATCATCTAAGGATCGAGGTGTTTATTTGTTTCCAGCTGTTTTTCTGGGGCATTATTTCTAGTTACATTTTCTGTAAGGATACATAAATTTCCCCCCTATAATTATAGCAAGTGCAATGGTGAAGCAAACAGAAAGTAAATTGTGTACACAGGAAGTAAAACACTCTTCAGCAGGTCATATTTATAACACATGGAAATGTCGATATACTTGCTCAAAGCCACCTCCTTCAAACTACTAATGATATACCTGTGAGGTAATAGACTTTCTGTGGATAAGTATATTTCTTTTATTTCTTATATATTTAAATAGGGGAACATTCAAATTGCTTTAATTTCATATTTATTTAGTGTTAGAAACAATATATTTAAAATATACTCTCTCATTAATTTCATGTACAACAACTTTCATGTACAATACCTCACAGTTCCCTGCAAAGGAGCAGCTGATGCCCTCTTGTGGTCAAAGGAAATTTTAGAGGAACAACAACAACAAAAATACCATTTTCTTACCTGACTCCCAGGTTTTACCAATCAGCTTGGTGTATGAAAGCCGAAAATCAGTTCCAAACTTTTTAGATATATAAATAACATTTTTATAGCTGTTAGTATCTTTTTCATTTAAAAATGCTGTACACATTTTATAACCTCTGAATTTGAATTTAAAAACCTGTAAAGAGCTATTTACAACATATTACAAGTTATAAATTAGTGGTCCTTCATTGGAACTGCCAGAAACACTCATATTCAAGTGTCAAAACCTGTCCCAAGTCAGTTAAAACATTTCTGTTATTCCAGAACGAAATATCAAATATTGGAAATATCCATCGGTTTCCTCTCTCTCATATGCAAGTCCATTTTTCCTTTCAGTGGAATCTGTACTTCCAAATTGTCATCTTTCCTGTGATGTTTTTTCCCTTTCCTCAAGCAGATATATATGCCCATCCCTGTTACCAGTGTGATAGAACCCAAGCTTATGACAGACAGAGCTACTAAGGTAGGCACACAGGATGCAGACTCAACCTTCCTGTGGGTTGGTTCTATTGAGATCTGTGGTTCCTTCTCTTCTATGTTAATCTCTGGTTCTTTCCTTAAAAGACTTTCAATATAGCTCTCATTGCTGACAGTGTCATTGACAAACAGGTTCACCATGACGGTGGAATGGAGAGGTTCAGGATAACCATGGTCACTCACTTTGACCAGTAAGCGATGCAGTCCATAATCTGTCTGTAGCAATGCCTCTTCCAATGTTATGTTGCCTGTTTTGGGGTCAATCCTAAAGGACTCTGGTCTAGGGCCTCTCCTCCCTATGATGCTGTAAGCTATCACAGCATTCATGCCTGTGTCTTTGTCCACAGCATAGACCTCTGTAATTGGGGAGCCAGGGAGAGTGGAAGGCAGTACCAGCAGATAAGACATATTAGACTGAGGAAATAAAACCAGAGGGGGGTTGTCATTGATATCAAGAAGGAGAATTGTGATTTTTGTGGTAGAAGAAAGGGCCGGCTCACCCCCATCCACAGCTTCGACCCACAAAGTATAGGAGCTTTGCTGCTCTCGGTCCAAAGACACTTTTGCTCTCAACATGCCCTTTCCCGTGTCGATAACAAAAATGTCACTCTGGTTCACCACTGAAAGGGCAACCCATCCATTTTGCCCAGCATCTGCATCAGTGACACTTATGATGCCGATCTCTCCATAGCCTGGGAAGTTTTCGGGCACAAAAAAGCTGAAGTCCTTGTTGATGAACCTAGGGCTGTTGTCATTTTTATCCAGCACGGTGAGAGCCACAGTGGCCACCGATTCTCTCGGTGGCTTCCCACAGTCCACGGCTCTGACTGTGTACCTGTATTTTTCTTTCTCTTCCCTGTCCAGCTGAGTTGAGACAGTCAGAACCCCTGTGACACTGTCTAAGGAAAAATAGGAAGGAGCGTCGGGTCCCAGGAAATAGGAAACTTGGCCTCTCTCTCCACTGTCAGCATCAGTGGCATACAGCTTAGTCAAAAAGGCATTGGGTGCATTGTTTTCTTCAATGGTTAGTTCAATCAAGGGCTGAAGGAAAACAGGTGCATTATCATTATCATCTAAAAGTTGTACTTTAATGATTCTTTTGACGTGAAATCCCTCTGAGTTCCAGGCCACAACAGCTATTTCATAGAACTGCTGTAGCTCGTAGTCCATAGGTTTGATAGTCTCTAGCAAATATTCATTACTGTACGGTTTGTAGGGTGATAACCTAAATGGCCCATCACCCTCCAGGTAGCAGTTAATCTTGTATTTACCTTCTGGATCTCGGATGGTGAAGAATGCAATAGGGGTGTTCACGGGTTCCAGTTCTTTCAGATAAACCACACCGTCGATCTCGTTCGCTATGTAACGTGGGACAATTTCGGGTGGTCTGAAAATGACTTTGATAATGGACACCAGGGCAGTGATCACGGCAGGGATGCAGCCTGGCCCGTTGGCGAGGACGGTGAGCTTGTGCATTTGTAAAACACTTCCTCCGATCTTGCTGAAAAGTGTAATGACTCCAGTCGTTTCATCGAGATGGAATAAATCCCTGGATGCCTGTGGGACTTTCTGGCTGTAAGTATAAGTGATCTGGGCATTTGTTCCTAAGTCTCTATCCACAGCCTGCACAACTGCAATCGGGGTGCCCACTGTAGCATTCCCATATACAGTGACATTGATTTGTGAATCTACGAAGAGAGGACAATTGTCATTTATGTCACTTATGCCAATTGTCAGGGTGGCACTTCCCAACAGTGGCGGAGACCCACCATCCTCTGCTATGATGATGCTTATGTACTCGTCCTGCTTTTCCCTGTCCAGAGCACCCATGACAATTAAGTAAGGAGTGCGCTCCCCATTCTCATTCTCCTCCACGTCCAGGGTAAACATGCCATGGTAGTCCAGTAAGCGATAGGTCTGCACTCCATTAATGCCTATATCAGGGTCCACAGCAGGGTGCTCAATGGCCAGCCGGGTATTGACAGGTGCATTTTCCGGAACCCACACCAGGATTTGGGAAACAGGGAACTGCGGAGCATTGTCATTGATGTCTCTGATGGCAATTTTCACCTTCACGAACCTGAAGTATTCTTGAGGCAGGACCAACACATCCAGGAGCAAAAGGCAAGAATCAGAAGAAGGGGAGGAAGAGATGGCAATGCTGCTGCCCCAGGCAGCTGCTCCACCCTCGTCCACACACAGGGCCTCTCGGTCGATCTCCTGGGTAGAAGTGTGCAGCTCCCCAGATCTGTTGTCCAGGGTCACATACTGGCCACTCAGGCCTCCGGAAGCCAGGCTGAAAGAGAGAGGCGGGTTCCACTGCGCACCAGCGCGCTCCGGTGGCTGCGCCTGCTGTGGCTCCGCTCTCCCCGCAGCCCTGGGCACCAGCCGCAAGTCCTCAGCCAGGCTGCCAATCAGCACCCCGGCGGGTAGTCCCTCGTTCAGGCTGTACAGGAGCTCTGTGGCCCGGCTGTAACTCGCCAGGCAGGTGAAGGGTCCCACGAAGAGGAAAATTAGAAGCACATGCTGGAGTGAAGGGAAGGGAGAGGGTTCATCATACACGTAAGGAAATACCGAGATCGATCAGAGTTAGATATCAGGGTCCCCCGGCGTGGGAAAAGGGGGTGGGGATGGGGTAAAGGAAAAAAAAACACAAAAAACAGAACAAACAAACAAAACCCTTGCTGGAAGGAAAGGTTTGCGGAGCAACCCAGTTCCCAAAACTTGAACGTGTATTTCTCAGTACGTTTTCTATTCGACCCTCCCCTTCCTCCAGACCCCCTGCCAGCCCCTCTCAACCTCCTTGGATCTCCACGTCCTGCCATCCGACAGGGAAACCTCTATAGGTTATGGGGCAAATGCGAGGGTCCTAGACAGACCAGGTGGGCGATTTATTTCTCATGTGAATAATTCAGCTGTTAAGGTTCCCGAACACAAATGATGTAAATTATGTCACATCCCTTTCTAAGAGTACCGACCATTTCTTAAAGCATTAGGAATAACAGCAATATCAATAATCGTGTGGATTATTACAGCAGCAGTAATGACCCGAGACCCTCAGCAACCTTCTCACCTGCTATATACCACCCAACGCTTTTAGGTCGGGGAGAGGAAAAAGAAAAAAAAGTGCTTTTCCTTTTAGCATGAATCTGAATCTCTACCTTCCAGTCGAGCCTACCCTTACCCCACCCACCCTCCTCTTCCTTGGGGGGAAATGAAGTCCACGCGGGAAATTGTTATGTTCAAAACAAATTTGTCACTAGGCAGACGCCAGCAGCGGGGTAACCATCTTCTCAGATGCCCAGAATCTACAGCGGATGGTGCGCACCCTCCGCAACCCTCTCCCCGCACCCCGCGCCCCCCCCCCCGCCTCATCTGACTGCTTTTCTGCTTCAGAAACTTCCCCACGCGACCCAAAGACTTGGCTCTTCTTCGCGAAAATCTAAACACATCACCCCAAACTCCTTCCACCCCACCCCCACCCCCGTCCTCCGGTGAAGTTTGAATGAAAAGGAAAGCTTTGAAGACCCCTTTCGGGAAACTGCCTCCTCCGAGTACCGCAACTTGTCTGGGATGCAGGGCTCTTGGATCCTTACCGGCAGGTTCCTGTGGCTGCTGCGGCTGCTGCTGCTGCTGCTGCGGCTGCTGCGGCTGCTGCTGCTGCTGCTGGGACGACTTAGGCGCCCCATATCCAGGCGCGGGTGCCAGGTCGCCGGGCGCCAGCTCACTGCCAGGGCCCGAGAGCTGCTGCGCGCATTGCCTGGGCCGCGCATTCCCGGGAAGGCTGCAGTCGGCGCGCTCCAGAGGGGAGGGTGGCAGAAGACACTCCCTCTCCGCTCATGCAAATCACTGGGGAACTTCAGCCAATAGTCTCTGGCTCTTCAAATTAAGGACTGGCACTAAGCCGGACTGAATAGTGAGGCGGGGACAGAAAGGCACATTGAAGGTTTCCTGCCCCGGTACCTCCAGACCCCACACCTCCCGCCCCCACAGAGCAGAATCTAGGACTAGCCAGGGAAGACTGCCATCCCCCGCCACCTGGTCCTGCTTTGAGTACTGGAGCCGGTGCCTACCGGCCTGTCTTCTGGCCACACCAAGTCAGATTGCCTGTCTACAGGTTGCTAATAAGGGAGCGTTAAAATGGATAGATAAGCCCATATTTGTATACGACTGAGGGGAGGGAAAGGGAGAAGGAGGTCGGCTTCACAGAGCAATCACAAGTTAGGTACCCCCCCACACACCCCGATCCACTCAAAACAAAAAAACAAACAACCTGATTTACTGCCCAGAGAATGCCACGTAGTCTTGTTTGCACCGCAGAGAGAGAGAGAGAGAGAGAGAGAGAGAGAGAGAGAGAGAGAGAGAGAGAGAGAGAGAGAGAGAGAGAGGGGGGGGGAGAACTTTTTCTCATTGAGGAGTCACAACTTCTACATAACGCGATGTGAGCCAGATAAACAAATATATGAATTCAGCGCAGGTTTCCACGTAGTCACATAGTTCAGTTTTGAATCTTCGCTGTTGGTGGTAGCAGAGCTGTAGCTGGTTTCCTAGGTACCTGCGTGAGCATCTCTAGGTATCTCTCTCGTAGTTTTATTTTAGACGGAGCCCGAGCTTCTGACCAAAAGAAAGACAAAGGAAAAAGTGGAGAGCTATGCCTTGTAACCCAAATGGTTCTGACCGAAATTAATGTTCACATCCTATCTAAAGGAAACCCTGGAGGGACAGAGTTGAAGTTTAGATAAAAATCTAATTTTTTTTTGAATTACTAGTATTTCTTCCTTCAGCTCCAGCCCTATTGCCTACTGGGCAAAGGCTCTTGAGAAAGAAATCCTGGAGAAAGTTGGAGCAAATATTGGGATATTCACTCTGGCTGATCTTTAGTAGTCATGTGACTTGGAATCACTCATATTTATTAAACTCAATGCTCAAGCCTCGTGGTAGACTCCAGTGCATTGACTCAGTGAAACTCTTTGTGGGGTGTGTGTGTTGAGGGCAAGGGTCATGTGGGGTTTGAACTCAGGGCCAAGGTGCTGAGATTTTTGCTCAAGGCTAGAGTTCTACCACTTTGAGGCACAGAGCCACTTCCAGTTTTTTGGTGATAAGGCCAGGCTTGGCTTTGAGCCTTATCCTCGGATCTCAGATCTCCTGAGTAGCTAGGCTTACAAGCATGAGCTTCCAATGCTGGCCTTGAAACATAGAAGTAAGGGGGAAAAGCTATTGTCCTTTCCCTGAACAGGCGTTTCTCTACACCCTCTTTTATCAGTAGGCTCCCAGATCCCTTCCCTCATCTTATTGCCTTAAACATAAAACCTGACTTAGCTAGAGAACTCCAAGGCTTGAGTCAGACAATTAGGCATTCTCTGTGCTTTCCAAAGGAGTTCTTTACCCTATTCTACTGTATGCTAGCCAGAACATAAATTGTTTGGCTGAGCTAAACTGTTTTGCTTCTGACCCTATATTTTCCCCATTTCCACTAATCTTTGAGACAGACTTCTAAATATTAACAATGCACTACATGAGAACACCTGGTGTTTAGCAGTTTGTTATTGTGCAAATGATACTACATATGCAGTCAGCAAAACTGTATAAAACAAATCTGGGATATAATAGGAAACTGTGTGATAAACGCTTGTAAGCTCTTTCAAGACCTGACAAAATGGGGAACTCATGTGGGACATGAGTTTAAAGGCATTGTGCAGCCAGAAAAAAAAAAAAAAGACTAAACAGTCAGGAAGCATGATTTGCTTCTTCCCTCTCAGCTGCCAGCTCTGCCCTACCGCTGAACTCTTATCATTGTTGGTAAATATTTACACTGAGGTCTGTAGTTTAAACATACCTGAGTTAAAAAAGAAATTCAGTACCAATATGCTTTGGCTGTCTATTTATGTCTTCACAAAATTTCCATAACTCCTAGAAGTTAGGGGTGCATGGATAGAAATAGGAAATCAATCTTTAGCCAGAAAACCTATCATCTGAAGCACTTCTGTTTCTATACAGATGGAAAATAAATTAGATTCTATGTTCTCACACAGCTCAGATCCTCAGGCTTCTTTACTTGGTTAGATCATCACTTGTTTTGTTTTGTTTTTGTTTTTGTTTTTATCTTTGTGATAAAACTGTAGGGAAGGTTTATGGCTTTGGTTTGGCTTTTACTCCCCTTCTTCCTATTTTGTTTATAGAGAAGTTACACAGGAACTATTGTTTATGAAGATGGTTTAACTGGAGTAACATCTCTCATCTCTTTGTAATTATTTTTTCAACTATCTTTAATCTCCCCTGTACTTGCCTGGTTTTTGCAGTGGACACTTTTGTGTACAAAAGTATCCTTTTCCTTTATACCAAGACAGGAAATGTTGATCTGTTGGCATGTATTTCACCTGTTCCCTATAGAAACGGTTATTAGTATTCCTCCTCTTTATTTAGTTGAAAAGAAATTAAATCTACCCATTTGCCCTAAATTACTGAGAATGTTTCTGAAAAGTATAAACAATAGCACATACTATTTATGAAAGTTGAAATACAGGATTACAGAAATACATTCTTAAAATAATGTTTAGAATGAACAATAATAATTACTCTAATCACTCTGTTTTAAGTTACTGTGCTGGGAGCAGAATATGTGAATGGAAGTTTGTCATCAGCACTGTAAGATCTTGGCACAATATTGAGTACAATGTTACACATCACATGCCAAACTGTTGACTGAACTAACTTGTTATAATCTTTGTCTTTGAAGATCTAGGCAGAGGTTTCATTGCAGCTTTAAGATTTTTTAATTGGGCTTTTAGAAAAGTTTAAAAGACCAAATGAGCTTCTTTCTTTCCATCTACCATCTTCTCCGTCACTGGGAAAGCTTGCCCAAACTCATGTCTTATGACTTGCCATATTCACAGATATTTCTGATTTAGAGAGATTTCATGCTATTAGTCCCTTGAAAATAACGCTTAATAACTTTTCAAATGTCTCAATTGCTCTGGACCTGCTTCCCAGGTGTTTGTAAAAAATAATCCACAAGAATAGTTGGATTATTTGCCCTCCTAACACTATTTTTTCTATAGACAAAGAAACAACATGATACAATAATGATACTTTAAACTGAGTTAGAGGATTTGGATGTCATTCTCTATATTATAAGCTCCAGTGTGGCTTTAGGAAAGTTGTCACATCTCTGCTTCACTTTCTAATAAAATGTTTCCACAAACTACATGCACTTATATGAATGAGATAGTTTGCATTGTATGTGTAATTAATGATACTACATGATGAAAACAGGTTAATTTGTTTACTGTTTTCTGAATTATGTCACTCAAAAGCATTTCACTGCAAGCCTTCTTTCTTTGTGGCTTTATTTCATTAGAAATGTGTAACTCATCTTACATGTGTGTCAAGATGCTATTTAAAACATTATACATTTGGTAAAATCATTTTAAAATAGTCATAGAGCTTTTTGAAGTATGTACTTCACAGGTAGCATGTATTTACATCTTTTAGTTAATTTTCATAGTGCCATCTGAAGTATTTTAATAATATGTCTCTATAAAATTCTATGTCACCCAGAGCCTCATGCATGCAAGGCAAGTACTCTACCACTGAGGTCACCATCCCAGCCCTGATAGTACCTTATTTTTAATACCGTTTCATTTGTCTTGCAAAGAGAAATATGAAATTCATGGTCTCCTTTAAGGTGATTTATAATGTATATATGTATGTGTATGAATTTATGCATGTGTGTAGTGTAAATTTTATTATATATATAACATAATGACAAAATGAACAATAAATATAAAATTAAAAGAATGGGGTGGGGGGGAGGGGGGAAGGAGAAGGATTGGGATGGGGGGGGACGGGGGAGGCTGGGAAGGGATGGGAAGGGTAAACAAAGGAGGAGGCTGCAATGCTTGGTAAGAAATGTACGCATTATCCTGCCCATGCAATTGTAACCCCTCTGTACAGTATGTTCACAAATAAAATAAAATAAAATTTAAAAAAACAATAGCAAGGTTAGGGGATCAAAAAAACTAACGCAAGCTGAGTGCTGGTACTCAAGCCTATAGTTCGAGCTACTTAGGCAGTAGAGATCTGAGAATTCTATTTTGGAGCAAGCTTTTTCAGACAAATTGGAGAGAGTCATCTCAGCCAATATAAACCAGAACTAGAAGTATAGCTCGGGAGGTAGAGTGCCAGTCATGAAGGAAAAAAAGCTGAGCCAAATATGAAGTCCTGAGTTCAAGCCAGAGGAAAAAAATGACCATTTTTCAGTGGTATTTATGTTCCAAACAAGCAAATAAGTGCTTAAAATATTATTTACTAAATCTAAATAGCAATCTTATAGTATGGTTATTATTGCACCCATTTTATAGCCACAGAATACATGCTTTTTTGGATTACTGGGCCCTGATATGTGGCCTCAAAAATCCATAGAATGAGTAGATCTAACTCATGAAAGTTTTTAAGAGTATTTCCAACTTTGGCAAAGTAGCAGGGTATAAAATTAACCCCCCCCAAATCAATGGCTTTGCTGTATGCCAACAATGAGAAAAGTGGGGCTGAAATTAGGAAAGCAACTCCATTTGTAATAGCCCCACAAAAAATAAAATACCTAGGAATTAACTT